CGGCTGAAGAGAGCTGTCATTTACGGGGAGAACGGCCGGCCCTTCTCCCTACTTCGGCTGTTACTTCGGCTCAGTGGTGAGTATAACTTGTGAGAAAAAAAAGGACGTTTACCCTTGCAGTGTGGGGGAAGCCCCATTGAAAGGATTAGGATTTTTTTCCCCCAGAGTTCTTTAAAGGACTCACACTATACATTTAAAATGGCAGATGGAGGCTTGTTAATGTACCTACCACTGAAAAATCTGTTTTTAACCTGTCATTCAGACAATGCTTTGAGGATTCTCTCAGTTAGAATCTGACTTGCTTGAATCTGGTTGCTGTGGCCTTTTCCACCTGCTTTTCATTTTCGGATGTTGCAAAGTAGGAAGCTGGCAGCTTAAAAAAGTGTTAAACTCTCAAATGTTTGCTCAATAATTACTCCAGATCAAATATAAATTGCCCAGCAGTCATCATGTTTCTAAACAGTTGGCTCCAACTCTGCTCAGCTTCCCTGAACTTCCTGTCCAGTACAAGATCACAAGGGAAAGAGATGTCTCCAGCAGCTGCCCATCTACTATTGATGGAGGGAGGAGCAGGGAGTGACTTTTCCTTGCGGAGTCTGTGTGTTTGTTCACATTGGTGGCTCCATAGCAACCTGCAAGGGAAATGAGCCAACCTAAAACAGGATATCAGGGCCAGGGCTCAGTGGACCAGCTGATTCTGCAGGAAGCTAAAACTTGTAAACATTAAGGAGCAGCATCCAATGTAATAGTGATTCAATCAGCAACTGACATAGAATAAAACCCTTTTGACTTCAACATCACTTTAATGTGGTAACACAGATTGTCTCCCTTACACTTTTAAAAATTAGGCTCCAGTGGCTAACTTGTTATGGCTGGCCCCTAAACGAAGACCCCCCCATCTCAAACCCCATAACCTCCCATTCCCTCAGACTGTGGGACTCTACCAAAGCTCAATACGGTCTCATCTCCCCACACCTACCACTTATGTCCTTCCTAGATAATCCTTCCTTCACCCCCGCACTAACAGACCCGTCTAGATTCAAGGCCTGGACCATCCGCAACCTCACTCACTTCTGGCAGTTGCAAACTGACTCGGGACCTTGAGTTGACTGTAGATGACGAAACCTGGGAACAATCCTGGGCTAATACTAGGAGCAGTTCAAGATGTGCAAGCATGTTGGAACTCAATTATAAAGTACTAATGAGATGGTACTTGGTGCCTACTAGAGTGGCTACCTATAAACCCGATTGCTCTCCCAACTGCTTTCGTGGCTGTCAGGATAGAGGCACATTCTTCCACACTTGATCCTAAAGTCCTCTGTCTCCCCAGATCTAATGCCATACAATATGATTACCTCGAAATCTGTAACCACCCCATACATATGTATCACAATGTACCTACATAATACTGCTAGATGTTCTCCTACCAAGATAATGGTCTGCGCACCATGTTGTGTAATGTTTCATTCTGTTGGATGTACTGTGTGTTAAAACAATAAAAACATTTATATGGAAAAAAAAAAAAATTAGGCTCAACTTCTAACGAATAATTCCTTTTTCTTTTTACAGCAAATATTTCCTCTTTAAATTGATGATGGGTACACATTTATACAATTGTTGGTATTTAAACCCTCTAACACTTTGCATACAATTACATTTAACGCTGTTGTAAAGTTTGAATGTTTTGTTTCTTGTTTTTTTGCATCAAATTGTTTGACATGTATTTTTATAAATTAAAATGTGCAGTTAGTTATGTTAATGTACTACATTTCTAAATGATGTATTGCATACAGTATATTGCTCTTTTACCTGGACAGTTAAATCAGTAAGTGATATGTGTCTACTGAGCTGTGTAATTATTAGATCTTTTGTACTAGTTTATAGGTGTCAAAAATAATTAGCAATATAGTTTTCTTGAATTTGTACAAAAGTGATGCACTAAAATAGTTTCTAAAAAGTTCATTTCAGTTTGTCTCTTATGTCTTTGTCTCCATCTCCTTCTTAGGCATTTGCTGTGTCCTCAAATCACTTAGGGGGTTATTCACAAAGCAAGTCGAAGTATCAGCCGTAGCTCATTAAACAATGGCAACTGGGCAGAGGCGGCCGTGACATCATGGCCAACTCCACCCAGTTGTCATTCATTGGCCGGGACCTGCTGGAAGACTCTCGCAGGTCCCGGCCAATAGGAAACAGTTGGGTGGAGCTAGCTGTCACTGCTAGCTCTGCCAATTGTTTGTTTGTTTTTATGATATTTTAAAAAAAATCTTTATTTAATTTATTTTTTTACATTTTTAAACATTATTTTATATATATATATATATATACAGTGGGGCAAAAAAGTATTTAGTCAGCCACCAATTGTGCAAGTTCTCCCACTTAAAACGATGAGAGAGACCTGTAATTGGCATCATAGGTAGACCTCAACTATGAGAGACAAAATGAGAAAACAAATCCAGACAAATCACATCGGCTGATTTGGAACAAATTTATTTGCAAATTATGGTGGAAAATAAGTATTTGGTCACCTACAAACAAGCAAGAGTTCTGGCTCTCACAGACCTGTACCTTCTTCT